GGTTCCCTAGGGAGGGGGTGGAATCTCCATCCCTAGAGGTGTTTAAGTCCCGGCTTGACAAAGCCCTGGCTGGGATGATTGAGTTGGGGTTGGTCCTGCCTTGGGCAGGGGGGCTGGACTTGATGACTCCTGAGATCTCTGCCAGCCCTAGGGTACTGATTCCGTTCATGGCTGTGGCATGGACCTGATGAATCACCTTACCCTCTGTGTATCTCACATGCCTTGAATGTAAATGGGGGCTCACTGATATTTGTTCTGCCCCTGTGGGGTCTACATGGGAGAAATGTGATCTCAGACATGAAATTGATTAAGAGAATCTCTAACTGCATGGCAGAATAAAGTCATTTATCCTCGCTGCTCCCTTAAAGTTAACTGTAGACTCTAGAATGGTGGTGACCAACCAGTTCTGAAGCAGTAGCCACCATAATGGCTACTGCTATAGCAAAATAGTGACACTCAACTGACCCAATAGTTAACTAGCCACACTCAACTGGCCACATAGCTACATGTTGCTAGTGGCCAATATATTGGACACCACGGCTCTAGAAAGTGCATTATAACGATTTGTTTATATGGGTTAGCAGGTTTAAAAGTAATAAGTGAAAGTTCTTCTTCACACAGCGCATAGTCAACCTGTGGAACTCCTTGCCAGATGAGGCTCTGAAGGCTTGAACTATAACAGAGTTTAAAGAGAAGCTAGATAAATTCACGGAGTTTAGGTCCATAAAAGGCTATTAGCCAGAGGCTGGAGATGTATGACACAAGATAAATCACTTGATCATTGTCTTTGGTCCACCCTCTCCGGGGCACCCAGCACTGGCCACTGTCGGCAGACAGGATACTGGGTTAGATGGACCTTTGGTCTGACCCAGTATGGCCATTCTTATGTTCTTACGTTTCCAGGCTTCTTAAGGGGATGAGGGGATGGATTGCACCCTCAGCAAGTTTGTGGATGACACTAAGCTAGGGGGAGAGGTAGATACGCTGGAGGGCAGGGATAGGGTGCAGAGTGACCTGGACAAATTAGAGGGACTGGGCCAAAAGAAATCTGAGGAGGTTCAACAAGGACAAGTGTAGAGTCCTGCACTTGGGATGGAAGAATCCCAAATATTGTTACAGACTGGGGACCGAATGGAACATTTGACAATAAACATATCCTGCTGTCCCTCATTGAAGGCCTTGGCCTGGGCTGAATGTGCATGTGTGTGTTTATGAATTTGTGTGTCCTGATGACCTCATGCTGGACAACATGAGCCCAGATGTTGTGCGTGTGAGAGAGAATAAGAAAGTAAGAGGGTGAAATTTGGACGACTGCTAGAAGGAGTGAAGATGCAGGTTCGGTCCAGGATGGCCAGGGATGGTGTCCTTATCCTCTGTTTATCAAAGGCTGGGAATGGGCGAGAGGGGAGGGATTGCCTGAGGATTCCCTGTTCTGTTCACTCCCTCTGGGGCACCTGGCATTGGCCACTGTGGGCAGACAGGACACTGGGCTGGATGGACCGTTGGGGTCTGGCCCAGCCTGGCCATTCTTACATTCAAACAGCCCTGCTCACTTATGCCAAGTTGCACTCAGGGAAATACGTCTGGAGGGTCCAGCGGTCCGGACCAGGCCAGACGGGCGCGTTACCAGACCAGGCCGGGAGTTGCTCCCAGAGCCCCGGCCTGAAATGTCCGGTGTGATGAGGGGAATCCGTATGATTGTTCTAGGCCTGCTACAATCCGACGCGGTGCCATTGTGCCCCCGCTCCCTGAAATCCAAGCCACCCCAGCAATGTGATACAGGATGCACCGAGGTGCCAGAAGAACAAAAGACCCTTGTCCACGCTCCTGCCCCCCAGGGCGCCAGCCTGGGGCAGGTGGAGGGGCCGTGGCTCCATGGCTATCCCCCACAGCTGTGTGCTGACCCCTTTCCATGGCTGCGGTGAGGCTCCGAGGTTGGGGATGGAGGGTGGGCAGATGGCAGGTGGGGTCTGTGCAGATCCCCCTGCCCAGCCCCCCACTGGGCTCGTGGTGGGGCCTCGGGGGAAGAGGAAGGGAGGGAGAAGAGTTTTTTATGGCACCAAGTGGGCAGACCAACTCCCTCCTGTTTCAGCGCTGCTGGTTAGCAGCGACCGTGGGGCAGAGTCACCAGCTGCCCCATGGACTCCCAAGCACTGGCAGAGCAGGAAGGCTGGGGGGGGGGACTGTGGGGCAGGCCTGAAGGCAGAACTGGGGGCTGTGGGCAACACAGCAAAGCCTGGCACAATCCAGGCATGTTGGCTGATCTGTCACTGAGGCCCACGCGCTGCATGCTGCGCTGGACCCTCCGGTGTGTTTGCACAACGCTGTCCCAGCCTCCCTGCTCCGCTCGTGTCCCCTCCCTCACTGGGATGTGGAGCGAAGGAACCACCTATCCCAGGAGCTGCCTAGAGCAGCGCGACCCCCGTCATTGCCCAGAGCAGGGCAACTGGCCACAGAAACCAACCGGTCCCTTCCCCGGCCTAACTCCACTCAGCGCCTCTGACTCTCCTCTCTAATCAGCCCCCCTGGGCCTGCCCCCGCTCAATCCCCTGCATCTCCCCTGCTAGCGGCGTCCTACGGGACCCTCCAAACCACCCGCAACTTTGCTTCTGACGCCGACCCTTAATTGCTGGCGAGGTTTGTCGGCTCCCTGGCCAGGCCCGGCTCTCAGCCGAGCGCGACTCTCCTCAGAGCGCCGACTAAGGCAGGAGACGTTCTAACGACCTGTGAGTGCTTTTGAGTCAATCCCTACACAGTCTCACTGGAGAGATTTGGTTTTAGTAAGTGGGTTGCTCACAGGGATGGTTTTAACGAGCCCTTAATGAAGCGAGGAGTGTGTATGTAGTTAATTCTTGTAATGCTAAACGACAGTCCATGAAATTCCCATTTCCAGCTGTAATGATCAGGTGGACAGCGGTGATCAGACCTATAGAAACATCTGCCCCCTTCAAGTCAAGCCCCTCATGCACCACGGACAGACGGGTCCTTGCCACGTCTCTGAGCAGCCACAGGGGATGGAGACAGCTCTGGTCCCGGCTGCCCTTAGCAGAGCGTTACAGCCACCCAGCTGCCGGGTCTGTGAGATTGGCAGCCCAGAGTCAGAGGGAGCAGCCCACGGTGGCCTGAAATCAGGCTGTGTGTTAAAATGGACGTTAAAGTCCATGGCTGTGAAACACGCCCACCCTGACCTTCCTGAGAACACGAGAACGGCCGCACTGGCTCACACAAACAGTCCCTCCAGCCCAGGGTCCTGTCTGCTGACGGTGGCCGGTGCTGGATGGATCAGAGGGATTGAACAAAGCAGCCGATCGCTGAATGACCCATCTCCTACTGTCCAGCCCCTGTTTGGGGCAGTAAGTGGCGCATGGGGCTGAATCCCCGACCACAGCGTCTCTACGAGGAGAGACAGAAAACACGGCAATGGTTCAGCGTGGCAAAGAGACAACAAGGGGGCACAGGACAGAGGCCTAGAAACCCCTGATTGGTGTGGAGAATGTGAACCGTGGATTGTTATCTCATCCTCCCCATCACACAGGAACCAAGGGCACCCCCTGACATGAACAGGTTTGCAGTTAACAAAAGGAAGTGTTTATACACCCCACACACAGTCATCGGGGGTGTCACTGTGGCTGTTCTCCATGCTCGTGTGAAACCAGCTATAACTGTAACTTCACCCCCCCCCACCAGCCCGCTAGTGACATCCACCTCATGATTTCTGATGGTGGGAGTCTGCACCAAGCACCATCACTAACAGGTGTCTGTCCAACCTGCTCTAAAATATCTCCAGGGATGGAAATTCCACAACCCCTGGGCAACTTATTCCAGCGTCTAACCTTTCTTGCTGCAGTTTAAGCCCATTGCTTCTTGTCCTATCCTCAGAGGTGAAGGAGAACAATTTTTCTCCCTCCTGCTTTTAACTCCATTTTCAGGTACTTGAAAACTGTTATGTTCTCTCATAGAATCACAAGGTTGGAAGAGACCTCATGAGGCATCAAATCCAACCCCCTGCTAAAAGCAGGACCAACCCAATTCAATCATCCCAGACAGAGCTTTGTCAAGCCAGGACTTAAAAACCTCTAGGGATGGAGATTCCACTCCCTCCCTAGGGAACCCAGCCCAGGGCTTCCCCACCCTCCTAGGGCAACAGTTTTTCCTAATATCCAACCTGGACCTCCCCCACCACAACTTGAGCCCATTGCTCCTTGTTCTGCCATCTGCCACCACTGAGAACAGCCTCTCTCCAGCCTCTTTGGAACCCCCCTTCAAGAAGTTGAAGGCTGCTCTCAAATCCCCCCTCACTCTTCTCTTCTGCAGATTAAACAAGCCCAAATCCCTTTGTCTCTCTCTTAGTCTTCTCTGTTCCAAATTAAACAAACCCAGTGTTTTCAAAAGTTTCAGGGGGTAGCCGAGTTAGACTGTAACGGGAAAAACTTAGAAAACAACAAATAGTTTGGTAGCACTTTAAAGACTAATAAAACATGTAGATGGTATCATGAGCTTTCGTGGGCACAGCCAGATGGCCCTGAATGTTTTCAGTCTTCCCTCATAGGTCATGTTCTCTAGACCTTTTAATCATGTTTGTTGCTCTTTTCTGGACCTTCTCCAGTTTCTCCATATCTTTCTTGAAATGTGATGGCCAGAACTGGACACAAGTCTCCAACTGAGGCCTAATCACTGCAGAGTAGAGCAGAAGAATGACTTCTTGGGTCTTGCTCACAACACTCCTCTTAATGCATCCCAGAATCATGTTTGCTTTTTTTTTTTTTTTTTGCAACAGGTGTGTTTTTTTCCCAACAAGTAAATTGTTCCAACAATTAAGAGATGGAACAGACTTAGCAGGATGTTACACACTCCAGGGAAGTCTGGGAAATTCTGCTGAGTTCAGATGTCTCCAGGGTGATGAGGAGCAGAGGGGAGAGTACAAAATAGTTCTCCTCCTGTGATCCTTTTCAGCTGCCTTTCAATAAGCAAGGTAGGTAGCGGGTAAAGACAGCGTGGTGGTGGGGGAAAGCGATTCTAACTGATGTAGAAAGATACAGACTTTGCTGGAGCCTTTTGGTTGTCAAGTGGCAGAGTCTCTTTTGTATGGACAAAACATCGTATCAGTTGAGTAGGGGAAGAGGTTCATAAAGTGGAAGTGACTTAGAATAATCACACGGACTTTAAGGACCCTTGACACTGTGTTGTAAAGTGACCTTCCTAGAAAGGAGAATCAGGTAAAAAAAATGGTGTAATTTATACAGATCTAGGTTTGGGAAAAGCAAGAGATACCATCCTGCAACTTATCATTTATCACCAGCCAAGGCTGTTGCGTGTCTTCTGAAGTGAAAAAGGTTGGGAATGAAGGGGGTTTATATTGACTAGCTTCATCAGAAGAGCCGGTAAATTACTTCCACCAGCCAGGCACGCCTGGAATAGTAACGGATAGTAATTGTTGTGTGAGTAATTGCTTTGCCTTCCTTGGTGATATGAGCATGGTTAGTGTTAGGGAAATCCGTTCTTCCATTCTCACGGTTTGCCTTACTGCACAGTCAGCTTGGTGTACTGGAAGAAAGAATATAACTCCCCTTTCTTGTTCAATGCTTTTTGTTGCATAGGAGGAGCTCAACAAAATAATATTCATTATAATCTATTGTCTTCTGAACACAATCACTTTTATACATTCTAATAGTTACACAAAATTTTAAAAATATTTAGCGTACATCAAAACTTTCATGACGACATTTTTTTAATTTTAATGAAATGTTATTTTTACTTAGCTAAAAATGTTCTTTAAAACAAAACCTTTATTTGAATAACCCTTGTTTGAAAGGATTATTGGTCTAGTGAATAGTGGGAAGCTGTAAGTCTTGCTGTAATTAAGACTTTGACACAAATTAGTTAAATGTGGTCTAGATGAAATTATAACCTGGTGGGTGCACCAAAGTTTAAATGATCACACCTCAAATGTAGTTATGAATGGGTTATTGTCAAACGGGGAGGGCTTATTGAGTGGAATCCTGCTATAACACAATATAGCAGGATGATGAAATATGCTAATAGCATATTAGGTTGCATTAGAAGGAGCATTGCCAGCGGATACAGAGATGTCATTATTCCTTTTTATTCAGCTCTGGTGAGGCCATATCTGGAGTATTGTGTCCAGTTCCAGACTCCCCACTACAAAAAGGATGTGGATGCATTGGAGAGGGTCCAGCGGAGGGCAACCAAAATGATTAGGGGGCTGGAGCATGTGCCCTGTGAAGAGAAGCTGAGGGAGTTGGGTCTGTTTAGTCTGCAGAAGAGAAGAGTGAGGGGGATTTGATAGCAGCCTTCAACTTCCTGAAGGGAGGTTCCAAAGAGGATGGAGAGAGGCTGTTCTCAGTAGTGACAGATGGCAGAACAAGGAGCAATGGTCTCAAGTTGCGGTGGGAGAGGTCAAGGTTGGATATTAGAAAAAACTGTTTCACTAGGAGAGGGGTAAAACACTGGAATGGGTTCCCTAGAGCCGTGTCCAGACTCAGGGGTTTTTTCGGGAAAAGTAGCCTTTTCCCGAAAAAACTTCCCCTGCGTCCAGACTCAAGCCGCGTTCTTTCGAAATTATTTCGAAAGAACGCGGCTTTTCTTTCGATGGCGGGAAACCTCGTTTCACGAGGAAGAACGTCTTCCTTCGAAAGTTCCTCTTTCGAAGGAAGGCGTTCTTCAATGTAAAGAGGCCGTCTTCGAAAGAGAGCATCCAGACTCGCTGGGGGGGCTCTTTCGAAAAAGCGGATTTTTCTTTCGAAAGATCCGCCTGCAGTCTAGACGCGATCTTTCGAAAGATGCTCTTTCGAAAGATGCTTTCGAAAGAGCATCTTTCGAAAGATCGCGTCTAGACTGCAGGCGGATCTTTCGAAAGAAAAATCCGCTTTTTCGAAAGAGCCCCCCCAGCGAGTCTGGATGCTCTCTTTCGAAGACGGCCTCTTTACATTGAAGAACGCCTTCCTTCGAAAGAGGAACTTTCGAAGGAAGACGTTCTTCCTCGTGAAACGAGGTTTCCCGCCATCGAAAGAAAAGCCGCGTTCTTTCGAAATTATTTCGAAAGAACGCGGCTTGAGTCTGGACGCAGGGGAAGTTTTTTCGGGAAAAGGCTACTTTTCCCGAAAAAACCCCTGAGTCTGGACACGGCTCTAGGGAACCCATTCCAGTGTTTTACCCCTCTCCTAGTGAAACAGTTTTTTCTAATATCCAACCTTGACCTCTCCCACCGCAACTTGAGACCATTGCTCCTCGTTCTGCCATCTGCCACCACTTGGAACAGCCTCTCTCCAGCCTCTTGGGAACCCCCCTACAGGAAGTTGAAGGCTGCTCTCAAATCCCCCCTCACTCTTCTCTTCTGCAGACTAAACAAGCCCAAATCCCTCAGCCTCTGCTCGTATGTCATGTGCTCCGGCACCCGAATCATTTTCAGTGTCTTCCACTGGACTCTCCAATGCATCCACATCCTTTCCTTAGTGGGGGCCCCAGAACTAGACACAATACTCCTGATGTGGCTGCACCAGTGCCAAATAAAGGGGACTAATTACTTCTCTGGATTTGCTGGCAATGCGCCTCCTAATACAACTTAATATACTATCAGCCTTTTAGGCTACAAGGGCGCCCTGTTGACTCATCTCCAGCTTCTCATCCACTGTAATCCCCAGGGCCTTTTCTGCTGATCTGCTGCCTAGCCAGTTGGTCCCCAGCCTGTAACACTGCTTGGATAGTCTCTGCCCAATAGTGTCTCGGATTTGGACAAATCACTTTACCTCCATGACTCCTCAGGAAGAGTGAAACATTCCTAGGGATGGGATGCAGGCCATGCTCGATAAGCAAGGGTCTCAAAGAGATGATTGCTAGCAAGAAGGATGCCTAAAAGAAATGGAAGATCAAAGAATCATAGAATCATAGAGCTGGAAGAGACCTCAGGAGTCATGAAGTCCAGCCCCCTGACCATGGCAGGACCAATCCCAACTAAATCAACCCACTAAAAACCTCTAAGGATGGAGATTCCACCACCTCCCTAGGTAATCCATTCCAGTACTTCCCCACCCTCCTAGGGAAATAGCTTTTCCTAATATCCAACCTAGACCTCTCTCACTGTAGCTTGAGACCATCGCTCCTTGTTCTGCCATCCATCACTAGTGTGAACAGCCTTTCTTCATCCTCTTTGGAGGTATCACTTGGCAAGAAGACCTGCCTGATAGGGGTCAGAAAGTGTAGGGGTAAAATTAGAACTGCTACCGTGAGAACGGTACATCCCCACCCTCTTTCCCCTGCACACCTTCCAAGGTGAGCTAAGAACAGAAGAAGCCAAGTCCTGAGGGTTTCTCAGAGCTGGGTGGAGTGGGAGTGAAGCGCTAGATCGTACAGAGAGAGAAGGTACCAGAGATCAGCCATGCCTCGTGCACCACTTAGACGCTAGAAGAAAGATGAGTGGAGTTCTCTTTGTGGAATTGGGAAGAGAGGTAGGAAGGACAGTGGTCAGTCGCACCCAGTTCCTCTCGTCTCCTCTCCATTTAACAGATTGTAACATCAGCAATTTTCCATCGCCAAACAGTTGTTCAACATGCTTCAGTGCCTTATGATCTCTCATGTGTTGACAGATGGGCAGCGTGGCTGGGACAGATGGGAGAAACCAAACCAGTGTGCAAGAATTCGTTCTACTGGGCTTTCCCGGTGCTTGGTCCTTCCAGATGTCCCTGGCAGCGCTGTTCTGTGTGATGTACATCCTGACCATCATAGGGAACACATCCATCATCGCCCTAGTGCAGACCCACCCACACCTGCACACCCCCATGTACTTTTTCCTTTGCAATCTCTCCTTCCTGGAGAGCTGGTACACCACCGCTTGTGTCCCCAAAGCCATTGCTGTCGTGCTGGGCACAAGCCAAACCATCTCGTTCACTGCCTGCCTCCTACAGTTGTTTTTCCTCCTCTCCTTGGGTGCCACAGAATGTTTGCTCCTGGCTGCCATGGCCTACGACCGCTATCTGGCCATATGTCAACCATTGCGTTACAGCGCCCTCATGAGCAGCACCTTCTCTGCTCAGCTGGCTCTGGCCTCTTGGCTGGGCGGGTTCCTGGCTGTCTCTCTGCTGGCAGCTCTCTCATCCAGGTTGTCTTTCTGTGGCCCTAACATCATCAATCATTTCATTTGTGACATAGGTTCCTGGATCGCACTCGCCTGCACCAACACGCGCCTCGTTGAGTTGGCCACCTTCATCGACTCATTCATTGTGGTCACGGTCTCATGCACAATAACCGTGATCTCCTACGTTTTCATCATCTCCACCATCTTGAGAATCCCCTCAGCCCAAGGCCGGCAAAAGGCCTTTTCCACCTGCTCGGCCCACCTCACTGTTGTGACGCTCTGGTACGGCTCTGGCATATTTCTGTACGTCAAGCCTTCGGCACAGAATTCACTGGATGTGAATAAAATTATCAACGTCTTTAACACGATGGTAACTCCGCTGTTGAACCCTTTCATTTACACGCTCAGAAATAAAGAGGTGAAGGAAGCTGTGAGAAAGACAGTAAGGGGGATGTTTAGTGGATTTTCAAACACCTTGGGTCTAGTAGAAATGTCAACAAGACGACCAAAATGTTAATTGCATTGTCCTAAAAGTAATGCATATAGTTGAATAAGAGAGGGAAGGAAGAAGTCATACATTTTCAAAAGACAGCCAAGTCCTTACATTTCGAAATTGCTACTAATTACCCAAAACCTTCCTTGCAGGATGTGGCGGTAGCTTTACTGGATGGTTTCCCACCACTATATTAAGATCCCTTGACATCGTAGAGATTAGACGATTTAGTTGGGCATAAGCTTTTGTGGGCAAAAACTCATTTTGTCAGGTGCATCAGAGGACGTGTTTTTTATCCACAAAAGTCTGTTAGGGTATATCTACACTAGCCCCTTAGTTCGAACTAGGGAGGCTAATGTAGGCATTCAAAGTTGCAAATCAAGCCTGGGATTTAAATATCCCGCGCTTGATTTGCATCTTCCCAGCCGGTCGCCATTTTTGAAATGTACAAAATCCGGACTAACTGCCCATGTCTATACATGGCATGGACCCGGTAGTTCAAATTAAAGCCCGAGTTTGAACTACCTGTTATTCCTCCTGGAATGACAGTTCAATTTAGGGGCTTTATGTCGAACTACTGGGTCCCTGCCGCGTGTAGACGCGGGCAGTTAGTCAGGACTTGTACATTTCAAAAATGGCAACCAGCTGGGGAGATGCAAATAAAGCCCGGGATATTTAAATCCCACGCTTGATTTGCAATTTCAAATGCCTTCATTAGCCTTCCTAGTTCGAACTAGGGGGCTAGTGTAGACATACCCTAAGTCTTTAAGATGCCCCAAGATTCCTCGTTGTTTTTGCAGATACAGACTGACATGTGACCCCTCTGTGATTTATAATATCCTGACACTCCCTCACAAATGACGAAGTGAGAGACGAAAATGTTTTTCATGCTGAACATTGTAAGATGATCAGTTTGAATGTCCCCTACCAGGATCTGTATGGACAGAACCCTCCTTAATCAGTCTATGCCGAAGGGATTTAGGTTCCCAACTCCCATTGGCTGTTGTAGTCTTTACAGTGGCTCTAACCATGGGTAACAATACAAACCAAAGACGGCTGTGCCAGAAAGCAGCTAGCTAAATAAATCCAGTCCTGACCTTAGAAGATGCTGCTGGTACCAACATAAGATTGGCCATAATGGGTCAGACCAAAGGTCCATCCAACCCAGTAACCTGTCTGCCAGCAGTAGCCAATGCCAGGTGCCCCAGAGGGAGTGAACCAAACAGGTAATGATCAAACGATCTCTCTCTTGCCATCCATCTCCACCCTCTTACAGAGGCTGGGGACACCATTCCTTACTCATCCACGCTAACAGCTATTAATGGACTTAACCTACATGAATGTATCTAGTTCTCTTTTAAACCCTGTTATAGTCCTAGCCTTCAAATCTCCTCAGGCAAGGAGCTCCACAGGTTGACTGTGCACTGTGTGAAGAAGAACTTTCTTTTATTTGTTTTAAACCTGCTGCCCATTAATTTCATTTGGTGGCCCCTAGTTCTTATATTATGGGAAAAAGTAAATAACATTTCCTTATTCACTCGTACCTCATCCCATAAACACACTGCGGAGGAACATGCAGGCCACCAGCAAAGAAAAGGATGGGATGAGAGAAGAATGGATTTTTTTTTCAAACTAGAGAAGACATGGAATGTTGTATGTAACCTTATTGGTGTGCTGTACAAAGGTAGGAGAGATGGGAGGGGTAACTTTGTATTGGCTTAGAGGACATTGTTTTGACTATTCAGTCAAAATCTTGTCCCACGCACATGTGAGCAAATCTGTAGCAATGTTAGGCTTTGCTGATAATAAA